GTATGTATGTATGTATGTATGTATGTATGTATGTATGTATGTATGTATATATATATATATAATTATATTATATATAATGATATATATATATATCATCAAAGGAGACACAAATTATCATCAAAGGGGACACAAATTTTTGAATATCTCTGTGTAAGGAAGAACTCTAAGAGTGTCAAGTTGGCATACTGGTTAAGGTACCAGACTAGAAACTTGGAGACTGTGAGTTCTAGTCCTGCCTTAGGCATGGAGCCATCTGGGTGATGTTGGGCCAGTCAATCAATCTCTCTCTCAGCCCTAAAGAGGAAGTAATGGCGAACACTTCCGAAAATTTGCCAAGAAAACTAAGTCCAGGAAATCGTCAGGAGTCAACAATGACTGACTGACTCTCTCTCTCTCTCTCCTCTCTCCTCTCTCCTCTCTCCTCTCTCTCTCTCTCTCTCTCTCACACACACACACACAGTCTGCCACAATCTGCAGGCATTTTGCCATGTTACTGAAAGCCTTAGAGAGAAACATTCCTGAAAGCAGCTTGATTTTTCCTTTTCCTGATTTAATCAGTTAAATGTTTTGCCTTGCGCACAATGTAGTACAAATGGCCACTTTTGTCTCTTAGTAATTGCCGTAATGATTTTGTAACAATCTTTGCTTTGCTTGAAGAATAAACATCACTTGGAGGTTCCAAATAAAGCAGGAAAGCTTTTAACTATGGTATTTTTAGCTATATATAGATATATTCTCCGGTATCAATTGCAATTTTGCTCATTTGATATCCCAGTAATATTGTCGTTCACGTGAGGAATGTCTCATATTGTATAGTACCGACAATAATCTTCTACAAAGAGAGAATAAAATAAACAAACAAATAAAAATGGCTTGGTGCATTTCAGCTATGACAGCCTTAAACAAGTAAAACACCCTGGTGATTATTAGCTATTCCCCTATGTTGCTTCTAGTGGTCATGTTTGGCTTAATTGACCAAGAATAATGGGTGGATTTAAAACTGAGGGTCTAGCATTGTGTTGAATGAAAAGCTAAGAATTTTCTTTTTCTTTCTTTCTCTTTCTTTCTCTTTCTTTCTTTCTTTTTCTTTGAGGAAAAGAGAAGCGCAGAAACTTATGCTTGTGGGGAAAAGATACCACGTGCCACCTTTGTTAAGCATCTGGGGTACATATTTCTATTCTTTAGCAATCTAGCATGTGATGCTATTAGATTACTACATGTAGTAATCACTTGTGGATTACTTACGCTTTCAAAAGCCGGCTCTTTCAAGGACGACCTGAGATGATCTAATCCCCAATAATGTGTTGTGGCCTTTAAGAAAGTTTCCTACCCTTTAGCTTGGTATTTATCATTGCCGTTTTCTTATTCCATTCATGTGATTGTTTTAAGCTCTGCTTTGGAAGCCACCTAAAATTACTTAAGTGTTCGAGGTTATTGTGCTTTTCTTATTATTTCTATACTATCCAGAGGTGGTATTCAGCACGTTCTGACCAGTTCTGGAGCACCAGTAGCGGAAATTTTGAGTCGTTCAGAGAACCGGTAAATACCACTTCTGACTGTCCTCGCTCCCATCTATTCTCTGCTTCCTGCGTCCCAGCTGATTGGGAGGAAATGGGGATTTTGTAGTATCCTTCCCCTGGAGTGGGGAAGGAATGGAAATTTTACAGTATCTTTTCCAGTGGTGGGATCCAAAATTATTTACTACTGATTCTGTAGGCATGGCTTGGTGGGCATGGCAGGGGAAGGCTACTGCAAAATCCCCATTCCCTCCCGATCAGCTGGGACTCGGGAGGCAGAGAATAGATGGGGACGGTGCCAGTCAGAGGTAATTTTTATCGGTTCTCTGAACTACTCAAAATTTCCACCGGTTCTCCAGAACTGGTCAGAACCTGCTGAATACCACCTCTGATCCTTCCCCTGCCATGCCCAGAAAGCTACAGCCAGAAAGCCACCCCCACAG